GGAAATATTGGGAAAACGGGAGAAGTTACTCCATTTTTTAAGCTTCCGTCGCTGGTGCAGCCTTAATGGTTAAAGTTACATAGAAATCATGTATGACGGAAATATTCTACATAAAATTGCCTAAAAAATATCCCGCAACAGCATATGTCTATCTTTTATGGTTGACTTACAATAACACGTGTAATTATATAAATAAAGTCATTCTTTATAGCACAAGCCTGAGAACAAAAACTATAGTTTACACTATAGCTCTACACCGAAGCGAAGCGAGGGCGGGCCACTAATATAATAATAATATCATTTATTGGCAGACAACACAGATCCATATGTTAGTATACAATGTAACTTATAACTAAGTGTTAGTAGCCTATAGTAAGTAGGTATTCACACATTTAGAACTTTTTTTTTTGTTTTTCAATAGGTCATCTACCTTAGAGGCGCTCCGCGCGATGCTCAAAGTGGCCGAGGAATCTTTACGTCTACTTCGATAACAGAAATTTAAGCGAAAACGAAGCAAATGTTCTTTCAGGTTTTTATACATTGATGCTTTGCCTTTCGGTACTTTCAAGTGTCTGCAATAAATCGTTGATGTATACTGAACATGTTTATTTTATTCTCTAACATTACCCATTATTGTGAAGTTTTTTGTTCTATTTACCTACTCTTTGGTGTAGGTCGGGAACCAACAATAGCAAATCGTTATGTTATGTGTAAGTATTATTAGGTAAAGTTTACTAGAAGACAGTTTACTCAATACCTTGAATAAATGAACCAAAACATTATTATTATAGACTTGAGAATGACTTAATATTTCGCCATAGACTTGATCAGACCCTTGGATCAGATTTTTGACGTGACAACGTCTTAAATTAGGTTGCGGCTGGGAGTCACTTATGAAAAAGTGTAACGCTCGGTAACGTTACGATGAGTCTCTCGTGTTAAGTTTAAGTTTACATGTACAATGTTTTAGTAAACAAAATATATTTCTATAGTTAAAATTTGTGCAATTCTTATTTTCATTCAATTCCTTGTTCCTATTGTGCAATTTAATTATATTCATATCAATAAATATTCTACCGAGAAAAAGACGTTGTCACGTAAAATCTTCGCCCGTAAAACCGACTTTACAGGCAACCATTTTTTTACTGTTTTTATGTAAAGCATGCTAGATTATAACATAAAATAAAAAATACTTGAAAAATCTGCCATGGTTTAAGTGACAGCTGTTAAAATGTTTGAATGTAGGTTTGTTTATCAAATAAAGTTTGTTTATCAAACTTTATCCTCACATCCAGCTATCCAAAATGTTTTATTTTTAATTATTTAAACTTCATGGCCAAACATAAGCAAACGGCGGACTTAATGCCATAGGCATTCTCTACCAGTCAACCATTAAGAGTGTTGGAGACAAACCGTATATACCTACTGATAGAGCAAAGTTGCTAAAAATATAATAAAACGAAATTTAACATAATAACATACTTAATAAAGTAGGTCTACTTCGATTTTTTTGTAAGCCTGTATATATTTTTACTTCGTTGTATAACCAAAAAGAAGACCGGAAAACACAAAGAAGCGCAGTTATTGTTATTGCAGACGTTTATTACCTATAAGTTTATATATAAGTTTAAAGTGCGTATAAAAACTTGTCTCCTTAAGAAAGGTTACTATTCAGTTAAAGATTTTATAAATGATAAGGCACCTTGGGCTTAATATAATAGACTAAGTCGTTTTACTTTACTAATTTGGTTGAAAATTGTTAGTTATACTTAACTTATTGTTAATTAATAATATTAATGTGATGAAATATGAAATCAACACATGTTTTTAGTTTTTGATGTCATCTTTCAATTGACGACACTGTATGAAACAAAACAGGGAGAAAAAAATAGTCCTTGCTGAGTTTCTTGCCGGTTCTTCTCGGTACAAGGTCTCCCGCCGTAGATTTACGAACCGATGGCGTAGCGTTTGACTTTCACAAGAGCTTGTAACAGCCTAGACTGAATAAATGAGTTTGAGTTTTGAGTTTTATGCTGATAACAATCAACAACAACAGCCGTAACGATTTCCTTCAGATCGATCGCAACGACGAATCGTTCCGTATATGGGGCCCTTTAACTTGAAAAGGTTACTGAAGGCTATAAATAACTTAGGGGCACTGAGCTTGACATTAAGCGGGGCTGCTTGCATAACATAGCGTATATAAATATAATATAAGTATGAATACCTATGTATGTGATAACTTTATCTACGTTTAGTACTTGGCATCCTGAACATACCTACATAATACTTTGTATGATTTTATTGAAATAGAAATATTATTTTGCTTAAAAACTGTGTATAATTTTCCAGTTGGAATTGCAATAGGGTATTTGACAGTGTTAAAAATAATGTGTCAATTGTTAGCATCTGTGTTTAGAATGAATATTGGTAGGGGTTTTTACTATTTTTACAATAAAAATATTCATGATTTTACTAAAAACTAACGAAAAAGATAATAATTTTCTTATCTATTGTCACGTGACCCAAAACGCTTGGGATTGGCCGAGCCTAAAATGACGTCACACGCAAGTAAACTTCCGGTTAAAGTGACATTACATTGTATCGTTTGACGTTTTAATAACAGTCGCGTGACGTCACACACTAGTAAGACGCCATATTATCCAAAGAAACGTTTTGGCGTCAAGTTGCCGCAAATGGAGTTTTTGATTTGGTTATTTTACTGAAATACACAACAAAATGATGAATATCCACTTTTTACGGACTCCATAAACATTAGTCAATAACGTCAGATCGTTTTCTAAAACTTGTCAAATACCCTATAATAATGTCACAACAGTGTGCCCACAACGGGCATGCAATGGCAAAACCACGGCAAAACATATAACCTAAAACTATTTTCAATTAAAAAAAAATAAATAGCATTATATATATATATATATATAATTTTACGAGTGTAATAATATTCATCAAGACTATAGAAGATAATATATATAATATTGATAATATTAAAAATGTTCAAATTGATTGACATGTTCTTGCTTACTTCCGTACCTACCAATTTCATCTATTCCTATCGATTTATAACTAGCATTTTTTTAAATGCAGTACTTACGTAATAAAAAGTACTGTAGGTAAGTAAAAAAACAAGAACTACTAATACACTTTTAATTTTATTTTAAATAAATAAATTAAATACATATTTCCAACACTCACACCAATTAGCCTAACCCCAAAGTAAGCACTGCAAGGTTTGTGTTATGGGATACTAGGGTAACGGATAGAATACATATACTGTACATATATAAGCATATTTATATACAAATACATATTAAACATCCATGACTGAAGTATAAATGCTCGTATTCATCACACAAACATCTGCCCCCACCGGGTTCGAACCGGAGTCGGTGACACCATGAAACCCGGCTTACAAACCACTCGGCCACGGAGGTCGTCGATTTTGATTGGTCGATATGGTAATGATATTACTTTGCTTTAAAGGAAACTTCGTAAGTAAATAAAAAATTACGACTTTAGACCGATACCTAAGCGTACAATACTAATATGATGCATCAGTGTGATGGTATTATGAAGTACTATTAAAAGTAATATTTACACAAATAAGGTGTATCAGAAAATATACTTTGTACGTTATTTAGTCTAATTTTAGCTGTGATCTTAACCTTGATAGTGGTAATCATGGAAATTTCGAGTATCTATAAAACTTACTACTAGCGACACCTAGTGGCGAATAGCAAAAACATGGGCATAGATTCGTAACCTGTATACAGAACATAGGAAGTTAAATTGTCTAAATGGTGGTTTTGTGTGGCAGAAATTGGATACATCAACACCCCTAATTATAATTATGTTCCGTTAATCTTATTTAAAATTACAACAAAATGCTTTTTACTTATTATCACTTTTTTATGTTACAACATAGAATATCTACAATAATTAAAACATTACAGGTTTTGGCAGTCGCGTAATTTTTTTTCTCAGCTAAAATATTGACCTTTGATAGTAATCTATCTATCATATTTATACACACACAAAATAAACATTATTAATTAATTGCAAATTCACGGCACAGACACGTTAAACATTCTTGGAAACAAAATGTTGTAAAGAAATCTGACTTTTCCTGTCTAGTTTTAACATTAAATAATGTGATTATTTATTAAAAAATACCTATTAATATAATAATCCAATGATGTCATTGAAAACTTTCTTATTTATTTATTTGTATACAGTATCAAACTATAAATCTGCGAAGTCGGCATGGCATGGCATCTTACATAATAAACCCCAACATTATAATATAATCCCAATTAAATTGATATATCAAGACTAAGCTTGGATAAGTTAGTACATTTTTTGTCTTTCTTTATTGAATTGCAAAGGGTATTTGAGTGATATGAACAAAACATGGCGTATAATTCCTTATTCCTCCACAAGCTTATTCCTAGTTTAATAATAGAGGGGAAATGAAATTAACCTATCTATCATATTCATATACACCATAGTGACCGGATTTAAATGTCGAAATACTATCAAGTACTGGCCAAGTGTGTATCGGATGATTTAAAAATATTTTGGAACAATTTGTATGGCTTTCATATACTGTAAAAATGTTTGGTTGTAGCTGTATACAGCTTGTTCTTTGTATAAACAAAACTTCAAATAAATTCAATTATATGCTGTAAAACAAAAATCATAATGAATTAGTATAGTAATTCGTTATTGTATTGGGCCATTACAATGTATTCTTCATTCGTAATAGTATCATAATATTCGCCCAAAACTTATCTGTTGGTAGGTACCTGATAACTGTTATTATCATTTTAATCCATGTAACAAATGTTTACAACAGCTGAACGCGTCGTGACTCGAGAAAAATCAATCACGTTATAGCAACGGAGCATGCGTCGAGCGCTCACGGGGCCGTTCTAGGTAAAAGTTCTCGATATTTCCAGGCGAGACTAGATGGCGCTTATCCAAAAACGAAATATAAGGCCGGCTCCGCCGCTCGAAGCGTCATTCAATCGTAAACAAAGCGAAAGTGTGCAACTGAGTAAAAAGAGTTACCGGCTTGGTTACCAAGAGAATTATTTGTGAAAATACATTCCAACTCTCTTCAGTTTGTGTTATAAAGTGATTTAAATCCAGTGAAGATGTCTCTGTACCCGTTTTTCTTCGATTATGAGCAGCCACGCCCTAGACGAATCCCTGACCAACATTTCGGCTTGGGCTTGACACCTCAAGATTATTTAACAATTATCGCTGTTCCTCAAATGAATCGGGACTACTGCAGAAACTGGAGGAACCTCCAGGCAGCATCCAGGGACGTCGGCTCATCCATCAAGGAAGACAAAGACAAGTTCCAGATCAACTTAGATGTCCAGCATTTCGCACCGGAAGAGATATCAGTTAAGACAGTAGATGGCTTTTTAGTAATAGAAGCGAAGCACGAGGAGAAACAGGATGAGCACGGATACATTTCGAGGAGTTTCACAAGGAGGTACGCTTTGCCCGAAGGAATAGAAACCGATAATGTGATCTCGAAACTGTCTTCAGACGGCGTGTTAACGATTTCGGCACCATTGAAAGCTCCACCCAAACAAGCGAATGAGAGGGTCGTCCCTATCGTACAAACAGGTCCAGTGAAAAAACAAGTTGAGGGCAGCAAGGAACAATAAATTACCTGATATAGTTGTTTTGACAAGTCACTAGGTTATATCGTTAATTTTGCATTTAAGTGTTTTTATTTTGTCAAATAAATGACGTTTTAGTCATTAAATTTTGATGTTTTCATTTTCCTGAAATAAATTTTACATATCTATATTCGTGGTTAGGGGGCGTCCATAAATTACGTGAGATGTTTAAGGGGAGGAGGGGGTCGAGTCAAATCTCATCTAATCTTACGTTGGAGAGAGGGGGGATCTCGGCAAATATCACGCAATTTTTTTCACGGTAGTATCTATTAAGTATTCTATTGTTAAATTTTTATTACATTTATAACTCTCAGTAATATTGATTACTAGTCTTAACTAGTCGTAAATAAAAGCACGAAGCATTTTTTTTTCTTTTTACAATAACAATCCAACGCGTTTACGAAAGAAACCCACATTTTGAGAAATCTCACGTGAGATTGGGGCATGGGGCCCTCCCCCAATAATATAAAAAAAGGTTGAATAAAATCTCACGACATCTCACCAGGGGGGGAGGGAGGGACAGAAAATCCAAAAAAACACCTCACGTAATTTATGGACGCCCGCTTAGTAGGTACTTCAATGTATTTTACTAATTAGCACGCCTAAAGTTTTTGTGTTCGATATTAATTATAAACATACATGCCTGTGTGCACACGCTATTCACAGATAAGAACATAACTACTGGGTTCATAAGCAGCTTAAAACTGTCTAAGAACTTTTTAAGACAAGAATTTTGATATTGTTCAGAACTTAAAATAAAATAATGTGAGAGAAAAAGTGTAACGTGAGATTTCCCATCAATTGATGGCCTTCTAGTTGAGAACTCTGTTCAATTCGGAATAAAACTAAGGGAAAATAAACTTTTATTAATTTGATTAGGTACTTTCAATATGCAAATCATTTTTGTCGAAATAGTGTAAGTGTAATAAAACTTACTTATATTATCATCTACAAAATAATTTTATAATAAAAATATAATATCATTATATTTTTATTTTCGAAAACAATAAGAGGCATTATAATAAGTTTTGCGCAATTTAAAGTAAAAGCTACACCAATCTAATAATATTATAGGTTGTAGGTACCTATAATATTATTAGATTGGTGTATCTTTTTTTTAAATCTTCCTGTAGTATTTCTGAGTCACGCTTTGTCATCCATCATTCGTTCTACATGCACTTTATTGAATCTGATAATTGAGATTAGGGTATCTAACTTTTTTCTATCAAATATAGCATTTTTCGAAGCTGTTACCTCTAAAAATATAGTAGATGACAAAAAGGTGGAATAAAGTATTGTTTGAAGTTAAATTATCTACTTTATTTTTAAAATGAATATGTTTTTGCTCTTTCATGCCTTAATATTTTTTTTTTCTAAGAACGCTTTCACAAAGGTCTGCTTTAAGCAAAATATAGTAGTTTTCCCTCCAAATTTTTTTTTTAGAAATAGGTATAGCATTTGGTCCCCTGATATAGTAGGATACTATATTATATAGTAGGGTTGGCAACCCTGACTGAGATTCACAATAAATCAATCAATCTTTTAATACTAAATCAGTTATTTATCGATATTTATTGGAATTATTTTTTAATAATTCATTAATGCCATAAATTGATATATAGAGAAGAGAAAAGAAGAAATATATTTTCCAGGTTACTGTTACGAGTTGTGCCCTGTGGCTGTAACTTTTGTTTCTGAAAAGACAATTTGATGCGTCTATGCCAAATATTTATCTAATTACTTAAGTTGTAAGAAAAATATGTTGTATGAGCTACGAAGGAATACAATTATATTGTATTTTGTGAGAATCTACAAAATACGTGTAACTAAAAGACACAAGTGCTTTTGGGAGGTTTGTTTTTGCTATTTTTAGGCACGGAAAAGGTCCTTTTACACTCAAAAAGTACACCTTCTAGCCACTAGGTGTCATTGAATGGTTAGGCGGTAAAGCTTTTGTTTCCTTGACGACATTAAAGATGGCAGTACTGTGTTCCAGAGCGCAAGCAAGTCTGTGCGAGTACTGCGGGTGAACTCTTGCCCAAGGGAGCGGCCAGAGTGCACTCAGATTCAGAGTCAGATTCAGATTCTGAAAACAAGCGCGAGAAATAAACAGTGTAGTCTAAGCAGGTTGCCTGCTTTTTCTCGCGCTTTGTTTTCTGAGTCCGAATCTGAATCTGAATCAGGAGTGCAATCTGGCCGTACCCTTCGACTACACTGTTTATTTCTCGCGCTTGTTTTCAGAATCTGAATCTGACTCTGAATCTGAGTGCACTCTGGCCGCACCCCAAGGAAGTATGCAAGTTCTGCTTCACTGCTAAATTCTTGCGATATAACTTGTAGTAGTCTGCCTCAGCAACTACGGTCAGTCACGATTAATGTTGCCAGGTGTCCCGATTTGCGCGGGACGTTCCGATTTTCAGGGGTCTGGGGACGCGTCCCGATTTGTACCTGATCGGGATGCTTAATGTCCCGAATAATCAAAAAAATAAATTAAGGTAATTAATATAAAAAATCTCCTTACACTTGTAGTTTAAAACGCAATAAATTAAACCCGGATTTAAAAACCCCTTGTTTTTTGTTAACTGTCCCGATCTGCAACCCTAAATCCCGATTGTTTTGACCTCATGTACCGATTTAAAACAAATCGGACCTGACAACATTAGTCACGGTTGTCCAAAGCGAGAATTTGAAAAGTTTTTTGACAGCCCTGTTTCTACTCAGTGCGCGCCAACTTCAATGTCATTAACTGTACCGAATTCGAACATTATCTAATTAGAAGCTGCTGTTCAAGTTTATGAAACACAATTTGACAATGACATTTCGGATTCGCAAACTATTCGAATTCGATATTTAGGTTCATGCTAAGGATCCTATCCTGATTACAGACTGACTACAGCGCCATCTGTCGGGTTCAGTTGTGAACCAGAACTATACAGTGCCCCGCCATTCAAATGCATTATTATTCAAAGCACTTGCACACATCATTAAATTGAAAAATCAACTCAATCGTTCAGGAGCATTGCACTGAGCAGTTTAAATTAAATCTTGGAACCCGATTGGGGTAATCGGGTTCTAAGATTTAATTTATTATAGGAATTCTTTAAATATATTATTACTTAAAACTAGTTTTTACGGGTTAATGCACGAAACTTTATTTATTTGACGTTTCGTAGCCTTTACTGGCTTCGTCGTCAGAATAAAACGTTTATTTAATTTGTCGAGCTACCTTCGAAAGAAGTTTTATTTAATGAGTGATGTGCGTGAAAACCTAGGAAACAAATATATTATTACTGACTAAAATTGATTAAAAAGGAAGAGAAAAGAAATTATATTTTCCAGGTGCATGTAGTACTTTAACGAGTTGTTCCCTGTAGTCCTAACTTTTGTTTCTCCAAAGACAATTTGGTGCTTTTATGCCAAATATTTATTTTATTACATAAGTTGTAAGATTAATATGTTGTATGAGCTACGAAGGCACAATTATTCTGTATATTGTGAGAATCTACAAAATACGTCCTACTAAAAGAAGTGCTTTTGGGAGGTTTGTTTTTGCTATTTTTAGGCACGGAAAAGGTCCTTTTACTTTCAAAAAGTACACCTATTAGCCACTAGGTGTCACTGAATGGTTAGGCGGTTAAATTAAATCTTAGAACTCGATTACCCGAATCGGGTTCTAAGATTTAATTTATCAACCAAATTCCGAATCAAGTTTGTCAACCAAAAAGTATAGACGAGATTTTTTTTCTGTACAATCTCGCATAGGAATACATACTCTTTGCCCAGCAGCCGTATCGTTTTATGACACCCGTAAACTGTTTATAATCGAGAGATGGCGGGGTTTATGTGTGATTCGTTAACCCGGTTTAAAACCGGTACTCCATCAGCCGAGCGTATAAACAGCCCGCGCGGAAACCGGACTTAATAATAAAAAGGCCGGTAATGTTTATTCGAGACCCTTACCTTTTATACCGCAGTTACAGTTACATTAAAATAAAACAATTGAGTGTCTGTAAATAAAGTTACCAACGCAAGAGAGGAATTGTAAAACTTTTTTTTCGTTTCCGCCGTCCTTTCAATTCTAGTTGGGAATTGAATTATATGTCATACTGTTGGTGAATACGAGCATTTGTACCTAAGTCATGGATGTTTATTTGTATTTCTAAATAAAAATATACTTAAATATGTATTCTATCCGTTACCCTAGTATCCTATAACACAAGCCTTACAGTGCTTACTCTGGAGCCAGGCTAATTGGTGTGTGTTGGAAATATTTTTCGTTGTAAAAAAAATTTTAGCTTCGAAAGGGAAAACGAATGAAACAATGAATTGAAAATTAGCCCCTATATTAAGCCATCGCTCCTTTTGTTTTTAACTATAACTTGGTTAATGACAAAAATAAAAAAAAGACCGACCAAAAGATTTGGCTACTGGTTTATCGCTCTCAAGCCCGATAGCACAGTGGCTAAAGGAGATGGTTAGGTTAGGTTAGGTTGCCGTCATATCCGGCAGAGGAGGGCACATCCCGGAGTTTTAGTGGGTAGGGCCCCCCCATCCCGAGCAGCCACTGAGCCAGCCCTAGGGTTGGCTGAGTGGGTGGGCGGGAGGTGGGGGGAGGAGTCCCACATAACCCCGTCGCCTACCCAGCGGCGGGGTATGCGTAACGCATTTCTCCGGGTAAAAAAAAAAAAGGTTAGGTTAGGTTATAACACGAGCAACTTTAAGTAACTTTTATCAAGTAATTTATTACATCAATTCTTATTTAATACTAATTTACCATGAACAAAATTATAAAATTAATTGTCACCTTGTCAATTCAGCAGGTTGCTATTGTATTTGCCGAAGTTTAAATTGTGCAAAAGAAGCTTCAAGCTGTGTACTCATGAAGGAGTATAATATTCCGCTAAGTAAATGTGTTCCCAAAGGGACCATTTTCTGCATGTTCATTGGGAAGTTGGTTTGGCAAGAAGTCCCTTGTCACACGGTACGGACTTGAAAAAAGTGTAAGATTTTTCCGTAACGATTTCCGACACGACCATCAGCTGTTA